CGGCGGCGGTGCGGGCCTGAGCGCAGCCGGAATGGGGCAAGTTCGGGGACTTAGCTCTCGCCCCTCTCCTCCGTTGCCGCTTGCAGGTCCACAGTTGGGTTTCCCTAGCTGGCCTGTCGCCGGTGGCTGCACAGGGCTTCCCTCGCTTTCCTGGAAAACGGCGGAGGGTTTGCCCCTCGCCACGCTGTTTCCCGCCTATCCTCCACCCCCCAGCCGGACGCAATGCAGGTTCCGGCAGACCCATCGCAGGGGTATAATACCCTTCTCCTCTTCTCCCCTTTCCTTTCCCAGTCGCGAGCGCCCGTGGGGCTCACAGCAGCTCTAATTGTCCGGCTGGCTGGAGCACTTCCGGGTTCCAGTTGGTGCCGGACTATCAGGAGTGCTGGACCACTGGATGCCGAACAATTGGAGTTTTACTGTATATTTTCAAATTTACATGTTAGTAATCAGTCAGTCATCCACAAAGAAGATATGTTAAAACATCTTGCTTCCAAGTTGCTTGTTTACTAGGGGTTCAATTTCTAAGTAAGCCTAGATGCTTAGAACTAGACTAGATAAACCTTGAGCAATGGCATGGAGATGAACCAGATGATCTTCTGTTCTATGATCCTTTCTAACACCAAATATAACTTGCTTTAAGAATTGGAGACTTCTGCCTCACCCCAATTTAAAATTTATGTTCCATGTCTTCAATTGTATACTTGTCCTTTCTGGATTACATTTTATTTAATAAACTTTTATTATGTCATCTGGAAATAATTAGCAATTAAATATTCAATGATGTCCTTTAACTATTTCAGTGGTGCTGAATATGCCAGGTGTTTTGCCTGGAAAATTCATGGATGATGGCATCATGTCAGGTATTGCAGGGGAACAGCAGCAAGAAGGATTATTAATTTATAGAGCACAAGAAGTTAAACCTACAACACATTCAAAACTCAGACATTCCCTCAAAAACATGGCCAAACCTTCTTCCTCACCCCCCAAAAAGGGAAAACTAGTGAGCATAGGAGTAAAAAATGGTGTCCTGACCCAACAGAAAAGCCTTATGCCAAGGCTTGAATACTGCCACAAAGGAGTTTCAGTGAAAGTCTTTGGGGAATGCAATGACATAGATGGGGATCCCAATCCTTAGCCTGATGCAGATGGAAGCTCAGCACAGATGGTCACGGTGATGAACAGTTTACTCTTGGGATAATGGTGTTTTTCTGCTGCTACAGAAAGACAGAAACCAACTAGAGACTGAGACGAAGTACAAAAGTTTATTTTCAAAGCGGGAAAAATTGATCCCATAACAATGCTTCATTGCAAAGTCTTCGTTCCTATTATCCCAAAGGACGGCTGCAGACTGACTCATTTTACTCAGATGGAAGTTGGCAGAGTACAGTGACAGTTGCTCATTGTACCGTTATTGGCCGACTACACTCTGGTGGGCTTAAACAAAAGATGTATTGTAAGCTTCAGCTAATCAGAGAAGAAGGTACACACAATGCATCTTTTTGTACAGTCTACTGTATTCTTACAAACAAACAGGGTCTTCCATCTGAATAGGCATTGTTCAGATTTTTTCCATGAATCAATTTGTTGTCTCCCCCTCCATA